ATGCTTGTAAATGCTCCGTGCGTAGCGGACAATGAGGCTTGTACCAGAATCCTCATCTTCGGAGGAGTAGAGCAACTCCTCGAGCTCAGAATCGTCGATTTCGGTGATGCCCTGGGGCAGGTAGAAGGGATGGTGCTCTCCTCCATCCTCATCTTCATCGATGTCTTCAAAGTTGATCCCCTCCCCCCCATAGTCTTCTTCGCCGCCCAAGGCCTGTGCCTGGCCTCTCCGCTGGTTGTCGATGAGTGGGTTGCCATTGGCCGAGTAGAAGAGGTGATTGATCATGTCCTTTTCATAATGGAGCCCAGCGCCGGTGCCATCATCTTCTTCCTCGTTCCTCATCATCCACCGCGCGGCATCAATTGAAATCCCAAATCGATTCGCCTGCGGGGGTCGTCGAGAGGGGAATCAATTCGTGTTGCGCGAATCTCTCTTCTCCTTGCCGCCGCCCCTCCAATTATTTTCCTTTTGATCTGATCTGTCTTGTTGTCTACGTGTGTGCGTTTCGCCCCGCTTCTTTCTCTTCTAGAAGCCAACAGCAGTGAATCGCGCTGGCATTCCGCCGCAGTGCAACCAAATATTTGATCAATTCAGATGAAACTATAAATTCCTCAATATTTGCTCAAGCTTGGGTGGAAGCCACAGCCACGAATAGTGTTAAAAATGGTGTTGGGCGCTAATTGGTATCTATCTACAAGAAGGAATGAAGGAGGGAAGGCGAAGAAGATCTCCTCTCCCGCCCACCAGCTCAGGCTCCTGTTCGTTTAGAGAACAATCCGCAACGTCTGCACCAAAGAGAGAAGCAACCAGTGAGTATGATTGTGATGGAAAGATGAGTGGAAGAAGAGTTGTGGTGGTTGTTGTGGCGCACCTGAGGCATCACTTCGCAGGTGAACGGCGTACAGCCCTTGAGCTCGCCATCGACGTCAATGATCTCTTCGACCTCCTCGAGCTCGCCGGTCTCGCTCTCCTTGTAGGGCGTGATGGAGAACTTTTTCACCTTCTGGTAGATGACGTAGGGCAGGTCCGTGTGCGAGCCGTCGTAGGTCCTCCTGAAGATGTCGAGCAGGTTGAGCGTCGACGTCGCCTTGATGAGCAGCAGATCAATCTGTTGGCATAGAAGTGTGAGTCGGGGGAAGCAAGATTAGAATACAGGTTGAGCTGTAGAAGCCTTGTTACCAGTCCATCGTCGATCTTGGCCTCGGGCGCCATCTTCATGCCCCTGCTGGCGGTGATGATGTTGTTGGCGATGGCGACGATGAACTTGTCGTTGTACTCGACCTCCCTGTCGTTCTCGTCGGTGACCACGACCTTGGCCAGCTGGGCCTTCTCCCCGCCCACGATCTCCATGAAGCACGCGGTCGTGTAGCGCATGGCGCTGCCCATCCACCGCAGGCGCTCGGCCGTGAGCATGATCTTGGAGGCGATGCCCCAGTGGATCGAGTTGAACGAGTAGCACGTCGAGCCGTCGCCAAAGGTGAGCCTGCAGATGTCGATCGGGTAGTTGACGCCCCGGAGGATGTGGTAGACGGCCGACTTGAGCTTGAAGCAGCGGAGCTCGTGCATGAACGAGTTGCCGGTGCCGGCGGCGATCAGGGCCAGCGGCGCGGGCTGCTTGCCCTTCGCCGCCGACCGCTTCATCATGCCGTTGATGCACTCGTGGAAGGTGCCATCGCCGCCCACGCCTACCACCACGTCGAACCCGCTGAAGTCCATGGTCTCGCACAACTGCTCGGCATGCCTTGAGGTATGTGGAATGTCAGCTATGTGCGTTCCTCACGCGAAGGTGGGTGTACCCTCTCTCGCTGAGGCGGACCATCTCGACGGCCACGCCCTCGCGCTCGATGAGCCTGCTGGCCTTCCTGGCCACGCGCCTGCCCCTCTTGTTGCCCGACATGGGGTTGTAGAGCAGACACACCTTGCGCACTGTAGTGTGCGTGTGTGTGTCGTGTGTCGTGTGTGTGTCGTGTGTGCGTGTGTGTCGTGTGGCCACATGTCGAGCGAGCGTGAGGCTACGCCGCGGGATCACACGGATCGGCGCAGCTTGAGGTGTGGATCCAACGTACCATTGGTGCGCTCGGCCTTTGTGAGGTCGGTGATGGAGAGCGGAAGGTCCTTTTCCACCTCCTCCTTGAGCTTTTTGTCCAGCTCCTCGTCAAATTCGACGTCGGAGAGGTCATCGCCGGAGTTGCTGCCCGACGACATCACGTCCGAGCTCTCGGTCCTCTCAGACACACTAGTAATCATGTTATTACGACAACGACGACAACGATCACCATCATCAACACCGCCACGAAAGAGAAGCGCGAGTCCACGACTCAAGTCTTGTTCACCAGAAAGAGAGCGCGGCGTACCTGTTGCGGCGGGATCGGCGACCGCGCAGGAAGCTCGGGATGTGGAGTCCACCGCTTCTGTGGCCCTCCTTCTTGAAGTCTGCGCTGCCGCCTCCGTTGGCTGCGGATGGTGTGAGTGCGGTCGCGCCCTGTGTATTGTCGTCCCTGCTTGTTCGCACATCAGCGTCAGTTGGCGCCACACCCAGCATCTTTGGTTTAGTTTGTTTTGTTTGTTGATTTGTTCAATAGCTTATGTGCGACCTTGTGGCACGACACTTAGTGCGGGTGTGCGTGTCTCGTGTGGTTGCGAATAAAGGAACACGAGCGACCCGCGTGTTTTGTTGGGCGGCACGTCGTTCGGTGTCGCCCGAGGTGTGTCTCGGGCCAGCAATTCCGGCAAAAAATGAATGAAAAACGAAACGAAAGAACGAAAGAGAAAAGAGAAAGAAACGAAAGAGAAGCGGAGAAGAACGAAAGAGAGAAAATGGGTGGGCGGCGCACTTTTCGTTGCTGGTCTCATCTTCGATCGGCGGGCGCATGGTGAGGCACGCCTCGGCGATGTCCCGCGCCACGAACTTGGACATGGAGTCGGTCAGCGGACCCTCCCTCGCCGTCGACTCGGCCGCCGGCTGGTATCCGACGTTGTGCACCACCTGCTGCTGCAGCGGCCGCTGCTGATAGGGAAGTCCCATCGTAGACGCGTCGTAGTGCGTGGCGGGCTGTGGGAGAAGGTCAGCAGGAGCTGTGGTGGTGGTGATGATGGTCGCCGGTGCCGGAGGGTAGTAGACGCCTCCGGTGTTATTGACGACGAAGGCCGCGGGCAGTGGCGCGGTGGTGGTGATGATGGGCAAAGCGGTGGTGGCAGGCATGCGGGCGGGGGCGGCGGGGTGGTGGGGTGGAAGTAGACCTGCTCGAGGGGCATGGGCAGCGCGGGCTCGGCGCCGCCTCCGAGGCTCGGGTAGGACTGCTCGCGGTCGGGCGCGTGGGAGGTGATGATGATGGGCACCTCGCCGCGCGGGCTCTCGGCCATCGTCGGCTTGAACGCGGTCTCGGGCTCGGCGGCCAGGCTGAGCGGCAGGGCCGACGATACCACGTTCGGATTGACGTTCATTGGTATGTGTGGTATGTGCTGTGTGCGTGTGTGGTGGTGCGTGTGTGTGCGGTGATGTGCGTGTCTCGGAAGCGGCTGATCAGGTGAAGCGCTGGTGGTCACCTTCCTTGTGGTTCTGGAGTGTATGAGTGCGTGAGTTCTGGGATAGAGAAAAGGTGCCGAGGGGGCTCGCGACTTTGTTGGCGGTGTGGTCGGTGTGCGGCGGAGAGGTGGGCTTAGAGAAGTGTCGTGTGGTGTCCGTGGGGAGAAGTTGGGCAGATGCGCACGTTTTTGACGGAGCCGACCGGGTCCGACCGGCGGCCGCTGTCGGCGCCCTCGCCGCACCGGGCGATGCGAAGGGGATTCGGTGATGGCCTGGACTCGATTCCGTACGGGTTTCAAGCTAGATTCACCAGGACGGAGGCCCAAAGGCGACGAACTGATCCCACGTACCGTGGAGGATGCGGAAAAGTCAGTCAAAACAGAATCTTTCGAGCAACAACCAATCAGCGATCACGTTTCATATAATTCTGCGGAATTATCCAATGCGGCGAAAGCGCACATAATTAGCACACGCGCGAACCACAAGATAGCCCACTCCGTGCTATTGGCGTAAAGCATCGAAGGCGAGGGGGGGTTACGAAACGGCGTTTCGCCAGGACCGAGACAAGGGATAACAGAAAGCTGCGTTGGCGAGGGTACCTGGCCGGGTCCCAAGCGGTCCAGCAGGCTCTTCCGATTATTATTGATGGTCGCTGAAGTCGGAGTCGGCGGCGCTGGCCAGCTCCATGAAGCGCTTGATGGTGGCGGCATATTGTGGCTGCTTCCAGTTGTCGTCGTGCGTGCCCCACTCGAAGCTGTGCATCTCCTGGCGCATCACCAAAGCGGAGTTGGCATGTGTCTCGTGTGTGTGGGTGGGTGTGGATGTGTCGTTGTGTGTGGGTGGGTGCGTGGTGTCGTGTCATTGTGTCACACCTTGTGTACACTGGCTGTCGCAGAGTCGAACACCTTCTTGCTCATCCACGAGGGCACCTGTGTGTCCTTGGGCGCCGTGAGGACCAGCAGCGGCTGCGGGATGTCCGCGACCTCCTTCTCGTTCTCCCAAAAGTTGCGCAGCAGCAGCGACTTGAAGATCACGTATGGCGTCCACGATGGGTAGATGTGGCTCACCTACCGTGTATGCGGTGTGGGTGGCATGTGTCGACACAATTTGCGCTCGGTCTGTCAGCTACTCGCTTGGCACCAACACAAGCAGAGGAGTCTATGATACCATATCGCTGACGGACGTGAATCCGTTGTCGAGAATGAGGCCTCGAACTACAGGGAGCTGCGCTCGCCTGCCAGCGTTGGTTCCCTGTACACGCTGTTGGGTGTGAGAGCGGAAAAATGGTTGGCTGCTCACAAAGTCACATCGATCATCAGCTGAGCATCGACGAGCTTACCTGACCAAGATCGCGAGCGTGCGCGTTGGTTGCTCGCGTGAGATGAATGGCGACACCGCAGCCAAGCGAGTGGCCATAGGCAAAGATGCTGGTCTTGTCGATATCGCTCCGCGAGACCAGATAATCGAACGCCGCCTGTTGTTGGTTCACATGCGCCGATCGATCAACCACACGGTGGTGAATAGTAATTTAAAATGGGCAAATGCCATACCTCTGCGTCTGCTCGCAGGCCCCTCTCGCTCGGTGAACCATCGCTTCGTCCGTAGCCCTGCGCGCACGCGGATTAGCGGGCGAGAGCCAGTCGTAGGTGAACAGGGAACAGACGTGAGCTGTACCCTGTAGGAGACCAACAACACGTTACAGCCAACGCCGCGGTAGAATGTCTTCCACACTTTCTCCAGTCGATGGCTGATGTCTGTTTGTTGAACACGCAGTTCCTCAAATGGTGAGTTCGTGTGCATCTTCAAAAAAATAGGGAAAACATATCAGATGTACGCACTTCCCGCGTTGCCCGAGAAGTAGATGAGGGTGGGCTTGTCCTGGTAGTCTTCCTTCTGCTTCACCAGCCAACAGTTGATCTGCGCGGCACCACAAAAAAGCGATCAAGCGTGAGGCAGGTAGAGCAAGTGAAGCAAGTAAAGGAAAGAGGGCGTGTGCTGCTGCTGTACCTTGACACCGTCGGCGGTCGTAATGTACAGGTCCTCATAGTCCATTCCCAGGTCACTTGGCGTGGCGGTGTACTCGCTGGCCATCACGAAAAGGTTGTTGTCACGCACAACTGCGGGTCAGGATCGTTTCGAGGGGTCCGATCACAGATGGCATAGCGTGTCGATGATGTGCGTACCTTCCACCAAACCACGACATGTAGATCACCTTGTTCTGCCACACAGCTAGGCTGACCATTTTCATAGCTATAGATGTAGGAGACTGAGCCTTGAAGCGTGTAGGAGCAGAGGCTGAAGCGGTGAGGAGGTGGGGTTGTACCCCAGAACACGATCGGCACGGCCACCACTACGCCGGCGAAGGTGAGCACCGGATGTCCTGGTGTGGTCAAAGGGTCCATGTGAGTGAACAACACCAGGTGTCCATCACCATCGTGCCCCCCCCCCCGACTGGCTACACGCAGGTACCTGCGCCAGCACCGATGAACTTCTCAATGAGGCCTCTTCGCGGTTGTAGCCCCAGACTCGGCGACACGGTGAGCCGAGTGGTTGTGTGCAGTGGTGGCGCA